GACGAAAGAAATCTATAGATTATCAAACAGTGTGGATGTTTATGGTTGTTCTGTTGTGTGCACTATATGTTATTTTTCAGAAAATATAAGGCAATTTGTTTAATAATGTTAGAAAGCAACAAAGATATGTTTTTTCCAGTTATTTTAAACTTAACTTTTTTATAAAAAGCATATATTTGTTTTTTATTTATCTTATAGAGAAATACGTGAAAAGAATATAGTATATAGTATCCAAGGTGGGATTGTAATGTTGGAAAATAAATCGAGGACTAAGTATTTTATTTACTGTAGGCATATTTACCTTTTGTATTGTCTATTCGTGGAATTTATAAGATTTTTAATAATTGAATGATTTGGCATCTGCTCGTGGAAACAAGAGAAATTATTTCTATATAGTACAGATATACTAAGGATGATCAAAATAAAAATATAACTTATTTTCAATAATCCTATAACCAAAAAATGACAATTAATATTTTCCTATAAAATTGCATCATAAAACGAAATCCCAAAAATAGCTTATGTACAAATTCACTATGAAATCATGTAGGTTATAAAAACAACGTAAAAAACAATAACAAGGGACCAAGTAAATACAACGCAGTTGTACATCTGTTCTTTTAACAATTGGTCATTTACTTAACCTAGCTTCCAGTGATGGTTAAATTTTTTGACAAATGGTTGTAATTCTGACAATTGGTTAGGCTAACTATTAATCAAAAAACATATTTTTCTGATATTTAACCATTTGTCAAAGATTTTAACAAATGGTTGAGTTAACCACGGATAAAAACATGGAAGCTAGGTTAAGTAAATGACCAATTGTTAAAAGAACAGATGGACAACTGCGTTGTAACTTGGTCCCTTGTTATTGTTTTTTACGTTGTTTTTATAACCTACATGATTTCATAGTGAATTTGGACATTAGCTATTTTTGGGATTTCGTTTTATGATGCAACTTCATAGGAAAATATTCATTGTCATTTTTTGGTTATAGGGTTATTGAAAATAAGTTATATTTTTATCTTGATCATCCTTAGTATATTTGTACTATATAGAAATAATTTTTCTTGTTTCCACGGGCAGATGCCAAATTATTCAATAATTAAAAATCTTATAAATTCCACGAATAGACAAGACAAAAGGTAAATATGCCTACAGTACATAAAATACATAGTCCTCGATTTATATTCCAACGTTACAATCCCACCTTGGATACTAGATACTATATTTTTTTCACGTATTTCTCTATAGGATAAATAAAAAACAAATATATGCTTTTTATAAAAAGTTAAGTTTAAAATAACTGGAAAAAACATATCTTTGTTGCTTTCTAACATTATTGAAGAAATTCCTGAAAAATAACACATAGTGCACACAACAGAACAACCATAAACATCCACATTGCTTAATAATCTATAGATTTCTTTCGTCTATTTGATATTTAGAACAAAATCCTAATGTCAAAAATGGTATATAGTTCGCTCCGTTCATTCAAACCGGTAGTGTTGTCACTCAGAAAAAAATTACCCATGTCAATGTATAGCGAAAAAACGACTCATTGTGCTGGCAACAAATTGGCCAGTGGTTAAATTTGACTATGGTTAAATATGGCATCAAAAAACGAAATAGCGAGTTAACAACTTGTTATTGTTTTAACTATAGTCAAGTTAACAATTGGTGAAATGATATTTGACTACGGATCAAAAAACTGGCCCTTAATGGTTACTCTTTGTGGTTCGCTTCGCTCGCTTTTTGTTTTAGTCACAGTGCTAACATAACCGATTGATCAGGTCTCTCTTAGTGGTATAGCATTATGGCTCGCTTCGCTCGCTCTTTATTTTGGTCACAATACCTTAAGCAATTGACCAGGTCTCCATTTATTATGGCTCGCTTTTGGTTTTATAGACAGTTCTAATCTAACTGATTAACCAGGTCTCTATTGATGGTGTTCTTTATGGCTCGCTTCGCTCGCATTTTATTTTAGTCTCAGTTCTAACATTACCAATTAACCAAATCTCTCTTAATAATTACTCTGTCGCCAACTCGGTCAAAATCAATCTGAAATTTATATGGTGACTACTATCAGTGTTGCTCGTCGATCACTCAAATTATTCCATCAATTATGTTATAAAAACAACAGTAAATTTTTTGTATTAAAACTTTTTTCATCAATGACATATATGACAGTTCCTCAAAAATCCCGGTATCAAACATTTTTCAGATTTTTGTTCATCTGGCAACACTTCAGCAGAATCCTGCCCTCCATCGACGGATACCAATTTTCAAGTTCTAAAATTGTTCCTTTGACAGTTACAGTTTTTGGGGTAAATCTCAAAAACTACCCTAAAATCGGGTAAATTTTTTCCATCATATGAAAGAGTCTATAGAGATACACAATCGCTCCATACATGCCGAATACCTGCGGGGTTGCCAAGTCGGTCAAAATCGAGGTTGAATTTCAAACGTTGGTTGCTCTCAGTGTTGCCAGTCAATCGTTCAATTTTTTCCATCGGGTATCTTGAAAAGTTAAAATTAAAATATTTGCATCAAAAAAAAAATCAACATTCGACAAAAAGTATTTCCTCAAAAATCTCATAAAGTATACTACATGATGTAAATAAATAATGCGGACAAAATCTAATAGATTATAACTTTTCTGGTGAAAACTTCATTATTTAAACAACTCTATATAACTTTTGAAAACTGTCCAAGAGCAACACTGTCTAGTATTTTCCAATTTCAAAGCCCACTCTTTGAACAGCAGCCATCGCAACTTGCGCGCACGGGTTGCATTGTCGTGCAAAAGGAGCACACCTTTACTCAATTTTCCGTCTTTTTTCTCTCACAGCATCTCGCAGACGTTCTAATAGTGCAGCGTAGTACTCTCCAGTGATACAGACACACTTTCACATTCCCTTTGAATCCCAGAAAACAGTAGCCATGAGTTTTCCAGCCGTCGGAGACACTTTGAATTTCTTCGGAGGTGGTGTGCCCCTTTTGTGCCACTGCATGGAGTCTTGTTTGGACTCAGGCTCATTATGATGAACCCCAGTTTCATCTCCAGTCATAATTCGGTTCAAAACTGCATCCTTTTGTTCACCACAGAGCGCTAAAAACTCGCGACAACACTCAACTCGCAGCTGCTTCTGGTGTGGCGTGAGCATTCTCAGCACCCATCTTGCACATGCCAAGATGGTCGTGTAGGATATTCAAAATGGTTGTAGCTGATACTGCAATCGTTTCTTCCGATAGGATTTTTTCAAGTTTTTTGACGTTTTTTGCCGTGTTTGCCTCGACAGGCCACCCTGGCCTCTGATCATTTTCAATTTAATCCCTGCCTTGCTTAAACAGGTTGTGCCACTTATAAACCATGGTTTTACCAGGGCAAGAGTCCCCGTAAACAGAAGACATCTCTTCCAAAATAGTCTGGGGAGGTTATCCTTGTTTGGTAAGGAACTTGATGACTGTGTGAAACTCAATTTTCTCCATGTTGCAAATACTCTTCCGGATTGAATTGTTGATGGATGTGTAGCTCAGGTAATTATGATCTACTTTTTTGAAACTTAGTATTTATACTCTTAATGAGTGTCACAACTAGTGCAGGTAGTAAAGTCACCTGTTCCCCTCCATACCCCCTCGTTCCGCGAACTTTTTGACCCACCATCGTATATAAAGTCATTTTCTCGCACGCGGTCTGGGGCGTGGTCGAGCGGTAGGACGGGGTCGTGAGGGGCGTGGACGCCGGCGACGTACACGTGGCGCCCTCCCGCGTTCCAGTTGAGCCGTCACTAGTTCAGCGAGAGCACCTCTCTCTGCTAGCATCGATAGGAACGTGCATATGAATTCATCATAGTTGTGGGTGCGTCGGCAGTCGTCCACCTACCAGGAAAATAGATTTTGCTTACATTTTTGCTGTGGTTTTACTGTCGATGAAATAGGGAGATCAAACCATAACCTACAACATGGGCCAAGTGAAGGTGTTGATGACTGCAGATGTCTGCGGGACCAATGGTTTAATGTGCCTCCCAAAATATTGAGTTTGAAATACTAAACATTCAGATCAATAGGCTTGTTGACTACATTATTTTTATTTTATAAATAAAAAACCCATTAATGTTTAAAAAATGATGTAGAAGTAACAGCATATGCGTTTAATAGTTTTGGAGATATGGTTCTACATTTATCGTAATGCTTCTAGTCGGCCGAAAAAGTTCTCTACAAATAAGCCACAGAATGACGTCACGCTTTGCTACGGTAGCGAAAAACGTATGGGGCTCTGGGTAATCCTTGTTAGTTGGGCAAAGTTGTGACGTTTTATGAACTTGTTTAATGCCATATGTATTTTAGCAAATTTTTGTAATTATTTTCCCTACTTTTTTCAAGTTTTCAAAGCGTAATATTTTCCAACTTACTAGTGTAATAAAATTTATTTTGTTAAATATTTATAAGTTAAAAGTTAAGCTTGCTGCTGCTTCATCAAACTCTCACTACACAAAACACTGATTTGGTTGTTTATAATTGGAATGACTATCTTAGGTGAATTGATTGTAGTTTCAAGTTCTTATAAAATCCAAGCAGACATTAAACCTATGCAATTACCTTATACATATCCCGTTTGTCATTTTCGTCATTCAAAGCTTGCTGGCACGACTGTATTTCACTAGATATGCTGCTGATCAGTGCATTTAATTCAGAGTGGGAGAGTAATAACTTGCTCAACTTGTATGACTGCTCAGGCATTGTTTCACAACAAAGCAGTATTGGTGCATCATTACTTCTCACCAGGGCAGTTGTTGAAGTAGGGTATACCTGGAAAATAAAATTATTCTCATTCAGATATATAAAAAAATGTTGGTTCATTTACAAAGAATTAAGTGCTTTACATACATCTCTCACAATTTCATTGTCTCTGCTTATGGTTACAAACTTGACTACAGTCCCTTGATCAATGGGGTCAACTGTAATATAAATGAAATTAAATTTTGGCGTTTCATTTCTTATCTTACAAAATATTGTAAAAATTTTATACAACCTAATATCAGGCTACTATCTTGTTGTGGTCTATCTGAAGCACCAATTTCTATAGTTATTGGCAGTGTTAAATCTATGTCATACATTTGCACTTCTGAAGATTCTAACCCAGCGAGGATGCTTTCCTCGCTGAGTTGTGGTATGGAGTCATTAAGCAAAATATCATTGTTTTCTTCTGAACTCTCTCCTTGTTCTGGAATAATACGAGGGTGGTTTGAAAAGTTCTCAGCCTGACCAAGAAAACAAAGAAAATAAAAATAAAAACATATTTAATTTTTCTACATATTCTCTCTCCCCTTGTCTCAATACAATGGCACTTGACATAAGATTAAATAAAGAATCAAGCTGTCAAATGACAATAAATTAGTTTACATACTACCCTCAAATCTAAGTCAGACCAAGAAATTTTCAAATCACCCTCATTTAGTTAATTCTTAGACCATATTTGCAAATTACCTATTACTGGAACATTTGCTATTTTTTTAAAATAATAGAGTTGTAATAGAATCTCAATAACTTGCATTTTGCCAGTGTACTATATATCTGTTCAATATTGTTAGTGCAATGTTTTCCTCACAAATCAATGGTGACAGATATATTTATTATTTTGTGATTTATTAACAAGAACTGTGTCATAAAGCATTGTAGTTGAAGCACTAGTTTTATATACTATGCTAACATTAGCAGAAATGCCCTACAGGTAGTATACAACCATTAAGTTTTGTTTTACCATTGAAGACCCTACTTTTTGTCAGTAAGTGCCTTAAATGTTTTCCAATTTTCGAAATGGCTTCTTTAACTCTTTTTTGATTAAGTTCAAGAGCGTTCAACCTCTGAGTGAAAGCTATCCTCCTGTCAGGAACAACAGCCATCAAATTGAATCTGCAAATAATTTCTCTCTTTAAGCCCATTTTCCGCCATAAAAATTATACTGTCCTTCTTAAAGTTCCACTCTGTCTGTGTACTAAATTTCATTAAAATGGAAATGGATATGTATTAGCAGACATGCAACCTATGAAATTACCTTTTACATATCCTGTTTGTCTTTTTCATAATTCAAAGCTTGCTTGCAAGACTGTATTTCACAAGATATGCTGCTGATCAGTGTGTTTAATTCATATTGGGAGAGTAATAATTTGCTCAACTTGTATGGTTGCTCAGGCAAAGACATAAAAACGTTATAGAAACAGAAATACAGAGTGAACTTCGCATTTATACTATTAGATGTATAAAAAATGTTAAAGAAATATTAAATCAAACCTTATGTCATGTACTTGTTCTCCCGTATCTCTGCCAAGTCGTTCAGCCATTACCCTCCTGAATTTATCTGTCCAATCCTCATCGCCTGCCCAAGGACCATGGTCAGTAGGATATGGTTTCAGACCATCTAGTTCAAATAAATGACCATTGATGGGCACAAAACTAACAAAGTGATAAGCTTCACCTGAAAGAAAAATCCAATATGTGACTTCAAAATTTAAAGTGTGTGGGTAAATTGAGGCAAAAGGCAAAGCAGTGTAAATTCTGATGATTGTTCAGATCTATACAGGTGTGTCTACACCTGTCTACAAATTTAATGAGACAATTATGGGCATAAAATGAGTAAGTATGAACCTTAATGAAACTATATACCACAATCTGTTTCATTTATCAAACAAAGACAAGCTGTTTTGTGCCTTTATTAGTGTAATTGTTTTGTTTCTGCCATGCAACAGCATAGCTATTGTTTATACCCTTGAATGGCTAATATTATAATGTAAGTTATGGATGGCTTATATGGCTTATTAAACAAAATGTTTTGCAGTACTTTAATTTGCCTAATTAGGTAGCTTCTTAAAAATTGTGCATAATAAAAATATTCTTTAATACCTGTGAAGCGACCAGTGGAGACTCCTGCAGTTTTATCTGTTTTCTTACGTGCCTGGGGGATGGCATGTGAGTTGTGGGCACAGGCAAGCTCAGGAGTATTTCCTATAGCCCAACCTTTGTTTTCAGGATTCATTCCTAAAGTATGATGCTGAAAGCAGATGAAAGCCTTATTGAGATGTTTATTACAAAATTACAACAATTCTATATGTATTTACTACAGAAGAGCTGTCTTTACCTTGATACAAGTATTTATATGCCGACACAGACAGAGATATTGCTAACGCGGTTGTAAAAAATGCAATTAATAAGCAAAAAATGTTTTGATAGAGCTTACAATCGCTTCCAGATTTTTAACTGGAATCATTATTGTAAACTTTGATAAAAAATACTTACTTTCAATCTACACAACGTTTCACCCAGATGCAAGTTAGGACAGTTTAGTAGGATAGATAATAAAGCATGTGTGGCACAACTATTTGGTACCATTTGTTGAGCGAAAAATATGTTGTTTATTGTTTCTTCATCTCTTACATAACTTTCTATCTGTTCCACAAATTTTCTACGAGATCTGCGTTCTTCTATCCATCGAAATAGGAAAATAAAACCATAAACAGGGCTTTCCAATGGTTTATGTAAATCATAGATTTCTTCCACTTGGACATCTTTAACCCCAAAGTCCTCTAGTAGTAATGTGAATAAACCTGGATCGCTTTCTAATTCAAGCCAGCCTTCTGTTAAGTTATTTAATTCTACCGGCATATTTTTCATATGTATTTTCATGAGGATATCGTCTAGCTATAAAATTAAAATCTTATGTAGGTACCTGCAAAAATTCTTCTTCTTTTATAAATGACTTATCTATTTTTTTTTTCTTGGCTTGCGCGGTTTATGCATTAGCCACAACGGAGTTTAAAAGGTAGGGAAACCATTTTAAGGAAAAGAACAAAGGAGCAGAATTAGGAAAGGATAATAGGATCAGGATTTAAATAAATATTAGAAATATGTTATGATATATAGTTATAACTGAATATTATGATTGGTTATGAAACTTGATATTAACTTATATAATTCAAAATTGATACAGTTTAATAGGGTTTGCATGGATGTAGGAAGGGAAAGAATTAATAAAAGAGGAGCAATCATGGAAGAGGCATTCGAAGAAAATGTGGTTTAAGTCTTCGACACCAGCACCACAAGCACATAGACTACTGTCAGCTATTCCTAGTCTAGCAAGATGAGAGGCAGTACGAAAATGCCCTAAACGCATTCTGATGAGACTTGTAGTAGCATATTTATTTAAATGCATTCTAAAAAACCATGGTTTGTGAGGTATTGATTCCTGAATAGATTTGTACATTCTACCTTTATTATGGCTTGAAGTATCCCATATTGCTTCCCACGATTTACACAAAAATGATTTAGGGAGGGATAAGATATCTTGTATTAAGTTTTGATAAGGGTCTTCATCACCATATTCCACCGCATCTTTAGCAAGTTTGTCAGCTATTTCGTTACCAGTAATATTATGATGGCCAGGTATCCACACAAAAATAATTTTTAAACCTTTAATTTTACAGTTAAGTAATAATTTCCTACATTGAATTATATACGTGTTAGAGAGACGGTATTTAAAAGGGAAATTTTCTAAAGCCTGTAAAGCACTTTTAGAATCGGAAAAAATTATGGCTTTTTTGAGGTTCGTAAGTAAAATATATTCTAATGATTTTAAAATTCCATAGCACTCTCCTGTATAAACAGAAGTTTCAGGTGGTAATTTTACTTTTTGAATTATATTGTATTGTTCATGATAGACACCAATCCCAACTAAGTCATGTTTAGACGCATCGCAATAGATATAATGCCAATCAGGCCATTCTATATCAATAATATATTTAAAATTAACATTAGCATTAGGGTCATTTTTAACAATGTCTAGATTGTAGTGAACTTCAGGAGCAATAAAAAGAGATTCATAAACTGAAAAAATAGGCAGGTACTGTGAACGGTGAGTAGGTGCTTGTAAAGAAATAAATTTACGGAAGCTTATAACTAGACAAGGAGGGGTTTTGTGTCTCCAGTATGAAGAATTTTCAACATTTTCAGATAAATCACGTAATTTACAATACAAAGGGTGATTTGAAAATTGGAAGGAACGAAAGAGAAATTTGTCACATAAAAATTGTCTTCTTAATTTTAAGGAGGGTTCAACACACTCAACTTGGAGAGCATTTATGGGACTTGACATCATAGCTCCAGTAATAATACGTAAGGCTTTAGATTGAATACCGTCTAATTTACTTAATCCTAACATGTTGCATGGTTCCAAAAAGTAGGTTCCATAATCAAGAATGCTTCTAATAATAGCATTGTAAAGAAGTTTAAGGGTAGAGGGATGGGCACCCACCAAATGCCCGAAAGGCATCTCATGATGTTTAATAAACGTTCACAACGAGCAGATACAGAGTAACAATGTGATAAGCCAGTTAATTTAGAGTCGATAATAATGCCAAGAAACTTTGCTTCGTTATTTACTGGAATCGCTTTATTATTGTAATATATTGAGAATGGTGGGGGAAGACGCATCCTTGTCAACAAAACAGCACTACTTTTAGAAACTGAAAGGTTTAAACCATGTTCATCTAACCATAACTTTAAATGTTTTAATGCAACATTAAGAGAGTTACTTAATTTATCAATAGAACGTCCAGAGGTATACAAAACTAAATCGTCTGCGTACTGTAATACGTTTGCACAGTCTGCAATAGAAGATTCCAAATCAAAGGTGTAAATATTGTAAAGTAAGGGGCTCAGAACCGAGCCTTGCGGAAGTCCTATCCATGTTAATCTAGACTTGAAATGATCACCATTTTTTACCATTATTACCATTCTTTCCGAGAGAAAATTAATAATAAAATTAGATAAAATTAGAGGAACTTCTAATTTTAACAATTTCTTTCTTAAAATATATATATATCTACATTATCATATGCAGCAGATATATCCAGAAACGTAGCAAGGACAGATTGATTATTGGAAAATGCTAACCTGATATCTGTAGTGAATATACCTAAACTATCCATAGTACTTTTACCTTTCCTGAAAGTATTGACTGGAAGCCAACAGACCTTTACTTTCAACATACCATTCTAACCTATTCTTAACTAAATGTTCGGCTAATTTAGAAATTACTGAAGACAAAGCTATTGGTCTATATGAATTCGGGTCCAAAGCAGACTTACCCGGCTTAATATGGGAATTACTTCCTGAGTTCTCCACGAAAGAGGAATACTACTATCAGAAATCATAATGTTATTAATAAGTTCTAATAAGTAATTAAGACTTACGTCACTTAAATGAACTAAAAATGAGTAGGTGATCCCATCACAACCAGGGGCTGAATCTTTTACATATGATAAAACACATTTTATTTCATTAAAGCTAAAGGGAGCACTGAAGCCAGTTAAAATATTTGTAATGTTCCCTAATGATTTATATAACGGAGTAAATTGTTGTGAGGCGAAAGATGGAGATATCTTATCTAAAAATTTCTCTGTTATTTCTTCATCAATAAAATGAGGAACGGGTTCTTTGAATGCTGCCCTGAATCTGCGTATATTGTTCCATATGATTGATGGAGAAATATCAGGAGTTAGGTTCGTACAGAATGATTTCCAACCCTCCCACTTTTTTTTCTTAAAAAATAATTATAAAAATAAAAAAATAATAAAATTATCAAAATTATGCATAGTACTATTTTCTGTATATATTCTTTCAGCTTTTTTACGTCTTTTTATTGCCGCCGAGCATTCAGAGTCCCACCAATAACAGCGATCACATTACCCAATAAATCGGCCCTAACTCTCATCGGGCGATCGGGCGCCCACGTTCACCCGATATCGGGACCCTAACTCTCTAACTGCGATTAGACTACCCAATTTACAGTGTACCCGATGGATCGGGCCCGATAGATTGGGTAGTGTAATAAGCGCCTAACTCCCTAAACATTTTCCATCTGTCAACTCCGTCGTTGTTATTTAATCTATATTTTAAACGGGGAGGTCGTCTACTACGTGGATTTATTAGAGCTTTCGGAAAAGAAATTAAAATTGGAAAGTGGTCACTACCAAATGTGGATCTAAATGGCTCCCAGGTCAGCATCGAAGCTAAATTAGGTGTACAAATTGAAAGGTCCGGAACACTATTTCCTTCATTAGGAAGAGTACGCCGTGTCGGGGCTCCGGAGTTTAAAATACAAAAATTATTAGTGTCCATGAAGTCTAAGATTCTAGCACCATAATAAGACGAATTAGAACTTCCCCACGATTGGTGTTGAGCATTAAAATCACCCATTATTAAGATTGGCTTTGGTAGCTGTGAAAGAATATTTTCCATTTCATCATAAATGGAAGATGAAGGATGAGGAACATATAATGAGGCAAAAGTAATATTATTTATAGAAGCAGCAATTATTGAAAAGTCACTATTATGATTATCTATGAGGATGTGATAAAAGGAAACAGTGTTACTAATGAATAATGCAACACATCTGTTCTATCTTCTCTTACAGACAAATAATTCGTAATATTAAAGTTAGAACCAGGCTGTAGCCAAGTTTCTTGTAATGCAATTATTATAGGTTTGTACATATTAATCATATACTGCAAATCAGTTTTTTTATTTCTAAGACTGCGGCAATTCCACTGAAGTATTATGGATTGATGATCCATTATTGGGTTGCTTAAGTATATCCTTCAAGTTTGATAGAGCAGCGTTGGACGGTTCAGATATATTTTTAGACTGAGATAAAGAGTTGATTAAAATTATAATAAGGTCTTTGACAGATAAGTTAGACAAAGGATTGTCATTCAAAGTGCCCACTGATGGCAATGGAATATCAAAGTCTTTAGTCAACAAAGTATGAGCTTCTTTATCATAACCTATACTATCTCGTATTATGGGCTTTGATTTGCTAAACACTGTTTTTTTATGAGACAATCTATTTAAATTATTATCATTTTGAGGTCTTGTGATTTTTTTTATAGGAATCAATGGAGACAAGGGACTTGAAACAGCAGAGGATAATACTTCGGAATATGATTTTCTTACTAAAGGATGTAACTTAAGTGCTTCAGCATAAGAAATGCAATTTTTTGCCATGGACTCTTTTATTGCTTTCTGCCTAGAGAATTCAGGATATTTCTTATTTGTGGCATAATGTGATCCTGAGCATTAACAACACACTACATCATCATCATCAATGTTACAGTTCTCACCAGTATGACTATTACCACCTTGGAGTCAATCTACATTGGTTTTTTATATGACCATAACGGCAACAATTAAAACATTGTACTGTAGGGAATATGTATAAGTCAACAGGGAGAGAATAGGCTTGTGTCCTACAAGTGAAAATACAGGTTTTTGTTATATCTTCGAAAAATATGAACCATTTTAACTTATAATTGTTTAACAAAACAAATTTTAAGTCACTGATTTGGAAAATTTTACGCTTTGAAAACTTGAAAAAAGTAGAAAAAATCTACTACAAAAATTTGCTAAAATACATTAGGCATTAAATTAGATATAAAAAATGTTACAATTTTCATTATAACAACTATAAACATAAACGCACAAATAATAAAGATATTACAAAAAATGTCCAGACGCCCATACATTTTTCGCTACAGTACCACCATGTGACGTCACTTAGTGCCTTGAATTTGTAGGTAGCGTTTTCAGCCAACTAGTAGCAGATCTACAAACACAGCACCGTATCTTCG